TAATCTCTCCTACACATCCATTGGGATATTCAACATATGCTCTATGTTCTCTCTTACACTCTCTCAGTCTCTCTTCGACTTTGTGTCAAAATCGACCCTACCTTTGTATATTATTAGAAATCTTTGTGATAAGGGGATTGTGTGTTTGGTAAAGGTCTTCCTCGTGTATTCAGCCAATCATTTGGGGAGAGGTGGTTGGGGGTTTCGTGTACGGGTTGTTTTCTGGCCGAGCTTTGTAAGACGGTTGGTGGTATTATCGACGGGCTTGCAGTGCCGGAATTATTGTGGCCTTGAGTCCATCGATCAGTTCTTTGATGTCATTCTGAGGGGTTGACGAATTTTAGACTCATCCTCGTGGCATTTGGACCCTCATACGATAATTCAGTGAAGGGAGTATTCATTCTTATAAATCTCTTCATTTATTCCCAGCATTTTAATTTATTTATGTTGGCTGATTGCTGAAATTTGCCTATTAACTAGTAATTTCCGGTTTCAGCTTGGAGTGGACAAACCTGGTGTTCTTCGAGATTGAAAGGGATATGTCCGAGACCAATCGGATGCTGTTCAGAACCAATAGGGGCCTGCCGGTCCCTGCGACACGAGGCAGATGACCACTCAACATAAATAAATAGGCATAATTAATCATCTCATTTATGAAAAATAAAGATCAAAGTGTTTTACTTTGTACTGTGACGAGATTCTTATTTAAATTTGTTACTCATCACATTATACAATAACATGAACAAATATAGAAATGTTGATTGTACCATGCCATTGAAGTTTAAACAGCAGCACACCACAACTAATTGCTAGTAAACCAAAATCAGTTTTAGCACATAATAGGATTTAGTTTTGTTAGTAATATTCCCTTACCCACGGTGGGCACATGTTAATATGTCCACCACTTATGTGGCATGCACACATTGGTGATGTATTTTTTTGAACATATTAAAATCACCAATGTGTGCATGCCACATAAGCGGTGGACATATTAACATGTGCCCACCGTGGGTAGGGGAATATTACTCACAAAACTAAATCCTATTATGTTGCACTCATAATATCCACAAACTTGTTGAACATGTTCCACAGTCCACATTTTGAAGTATTTAACATGCATGCAATTGTTAAATAAATGAGGCACTCATGAGTTTGATTAAATCTTGAAAAATATGAATATTTACATAATTTACATAATTTATTATAGGTGTTTCAGTTAAAACTCGAGTTCGATTCAATAATATTGATAAATGAGCACAGCTTGAGTCATTTTGTTACGACCCGACACTACAAGAAAATACTTCAATTCCAACGAAAAATTCCAACGGCAAAAATTTCCGTTGGAAATTCCAATGAATATTCCAACAAACTTAATTTTATGTTGGAAAAAGTGTTGGATGGTTGAGGAATTCCAACATATTTTTTTCGTTGGAATAGCTGTAGGAATTTATTTCCATAGGATTTTCCGTTGGATTTTAGCTATTCCAACGGCCGTTTTTTCCACGAATTTTTATACGTAGGAATATCCGTTGGAATATTTATTCCAACGGATATATAAAGAATTCCAACGGAAAATTTCTGTTGGAATGTAAGAGGTTTTTTTGTAGTGCGAGTTCAGCTGTGTTTTGGTTTGTTTACACCTTTAGACGTGCACAAGAAAGGAAAAAAAATTTTCAACCCCCAAACTATGTCGATTTTTAGAATTTGTCGTACGAACTTCTTTTTCTTGACAATTTACCTCCCATAATAATCAAAACTAACAATTTGTCTCCCCGATTGAAAACCCTAATATGACACAAAAAAGTTTTTAACTCAATTTACGATAAATTTTAATTTGACTTTTAAAATTGATTTAGAGCTTTTAAAACCCATGACGAACGAAATGAGGTATGATTTGTCGATTTCTGAAAATTAATACATCTGTAATCGATCGACGAAAATAGTAGGAACACATGTATATAGAAAAAATTTCAATTCAATTTTTCTGATAATCTAGATATCCGATTTTCGATGGGAGGTGTCATTTGAAAACTTGCAGGACGAATTTTCAATCGATGAGACAAATTGTTAGTTTCGATTATGAGAGACAAATTGTGAAGAAAAAAATTCGTAAGGCAATTCTAAAAATCGGCATAGTTTGGGAGGTTAAATTTTTTTTTTCCCGCACAAGAAAATCAGATTTGTTTTTTGAAAATAAAAAAAAAATAAAATATTTTCTTCATATAAAAAAATGAAATAAAAACGGAAAACGTCACACTATGGTAATTAAGCAAGTTAAACGTTCCAAAACATTTGAAGAGTTTGATTTTTTTTTTTTTTTTTTTT